GTCAACATGATGAAACTGTACTGGGACAGGGAGAAGTTGGTGCTGGCTGTGTGTGGGCAGTGGGAGGAGAAGGGAGAGGATCCCCTGGTGGGACTCCTCCCTGAGGCTGGGGCTAACTCCCCGCTGAAATCAATTCCCCTCTCAGTCCAGCTAACCCCTGCCCAGCAGGCAGAGATCAGAGAGGTGCTGCATTCATTCCAGCAGCTGTTCTCCAACCAGCCTGGGCTCACTAATCTGGCTGTCCACCAGGTGGAGACAGGAACCAACCCACCCATCAAATGTTCCCCATTCAGGGTCACTGGGAAAACAGCCCAGGACCTAAAGAGAGAGGTCAGGGATATACTGGCTTTAAGAGTGATCGAGCCGTCCACCAGCCCCTGGGCCTCACCTGTGGTGCTGGTCCCCAAGAAGGATGGGTCGATCTGGTTTTGTGTGGACTATCAGAAGCTCAATGCCATCACCGTGTCCGATGTCTACCCCAGGCCTAGGACCGATGAGATCCTAGACAAGTTGGGGGGCGCCCGGTACCTCACTCCATGGATCTTACCAAAGGCTACTGGCAGGTGCCTTTGGACCCGGAGGCCAGGGCAAAGTCTGCCTTCACCACCCCAATGGGGATCTTCTAGTCCCTGGTCCTGCCTTTCGGCCTCAAGGGGGCACCTGCCACCTTCCAGCGCCTGATGGATCAGTTGCTAAGGGGATGGAGGACTTTGCTCTAGCGTATATTGAGGATATCTTTGTCTTTAGCCAGACCTGGGAAGAACATGTGTCCCAGATGAAGAGGGTGCTGGGTCACCTCCAGTATGCAGGACTGACCATAAAAGCTGAAAAGTGCAAGGTGGAGATGGTAGAGGTTTCATACCTAGGCCACAAGGTGGGGGGTGGCCACCTGAAGCCGGAGCTGGCTAAAGTGGAGGCAATCAAGGACTGGCCCGCTTCCCAGACTAAGAAGCAGGTCCAGGCTTTCATTGGGATGGCGGGGTCCTACCGGAGGTTTGTGCCCCACTTTCGCTCCCTGGCAGCTCCCCTCACAGAGCTTTGTTGGAAGGGAAAGCCGGACAAGGTGGTCTGGTCCAAGTAGTGCCAAAGGGCTCTTTGTGCACTGAAGGGGGCACTTATCCAAAGCCCAGTGCTAAACCCGGATTTTAACAAACCCTTCCTGGTGTTCACCAATGCCTCAGACACAGGGCTGGGTGCGGTGCAGATGCAAATTGATACGAAAGGGGAGAGACCCCGTTGTGTACCTGAGGAAGAAGCTGCTGCCCCGGGAGCAGCACTATGTGGCCATAGAGAAGGAATCCCTGGCCACGGTGTGGGCCCTTAAGAAACTGAAGCCCTATCTATTTGGGCGGTGCTTCACTGTGTACACTGACCATTCACCCATAACGTGGCTACATCGAATGAAAGGAGCTAATGCTAAGCTGCTGAGATGGAGCCTTCTCCTCCAGGGTTATGACATGGAGGTGGTCCATGTGTGGGATCCATAAATATCAGGTGCTGGGGCATTAATAATGGAAGGCTGACAGAAAATGAGTCACCTTCTAGTGACCCTGGCCACTATCTGACCCCACATCCCAGCCCCATATTGTATCTGAAGGAAGCGATCCTCATCCCCTAGCCCGGCTCTCACTCATTTATGCAGGAAGCCTGTCAAGGTTCACTCTCCACTCTGAACTCTGGGGTACAGATGTGGGGACCCGCATGAAAGATCCCCATAGCTTATATTTTACCAGCTTAGGTTAAAATCTTCCCCAAGACACAAATTCCTTTCCTTGTCCTTGGATGGTATTGCTGCCACCACCAAGTGATTCACACATAAATTCAGGAAAGGGTCACTTGGAGTCTCTATTCCCCCAAAATATCCCCCCAAGCCCCTTCACCCCCTTTCCTGGGGGACTTGAAAATAATATACTAACCAATTGGTTACAATGTGAGCACAGACCAAACCCTTTGGGTTTTAGGACACTGAAAATCAATCAGGTTCTTAAAAGAAGAATTTTATTTATAAAAAAAGTAAGAGAATCACACCTGCAAAATCAGGATGGAAGGTAACTTTACAGAGTAAATAAAAAGATTTAAAACACAGGTAATTTGAGCTTCTTAACCCCTTACAGGTAAAGTGATTCTGTACCTCTGGCCAGGAGGGATTTTATATTACTGCATTCATAAAGTTTGTTACCCTTTCCTTTATATTTGTGACAGCATCTGATCAAGTTGCTTCCTTCTGTTGACATAAACCTGGGACTTGCCTCCTACCGCACCCCAGGCCTAGCTGGTCAGTGTCTCCTCTCCTTAGGCTGGGCCAGTCTTGGCATTATGTACCCTGGACTGAGCACGACACTTACATTGAAAGATGATTTTCTGCCATGCTGGTCTCCTGCACACAGCATGATCCCAGCTTTACACTTATTGGGATCCTGAGGTGAAGCAAGAGGCTCTGGAGACAGAGCACAAGTCAGCTCTGAATAAATTGAATTCTGGGCACCATCTCCACATTCCCCACTGCCATGTCCCAGCTGACCCCTCCCCTTTGCTGTACCCCACAGATCCCCCTCCCCAGCCAGGGCTGAGGCTGGATCCCCCTTCTGGTGCAGGGAGCGAAGGATTCCCCTGCTCATCACCTGTGCAGTCTCCAGGGATGCCAGAGAGGGCGATTTCACTTCTACAAGGATGGAGTCAAGCTCATCCCCGGGAACGTGGGGTCTGAGATCAACACCATGGAGCCTGGCATCGGCTCTGTGAATGTCTCTGTGCTAAGCATCCTGCAGGCCGGTCCCAACAACACCGGGGAATTCACCTGTGGGTACAAGGAAAATGTGAGCAGGAGGTGGATCCCGTCCCCCAGGAGCCGGGCTGAGAACTGTTGACAACTGATGGCGTCTTGCTTCTTGGTGGAGGCCTGGCTGCTCTCATCTGCTATTGCCATAGGAAGAAAAGAGGTGTGTGAAAGGGGGCAAGGGGATGTGATCTCCCATCTTCTCCCTTGATATGGTGTAGCCAATAACTATTCTGTAGTGATTAGCATAAATAGTTTTAAACCATTAATGACACCCACACCGCGGTAGGATGCTTGGTGAAGGAAAGAAAATCTAAAATATGCATTGCAAATGAGGTATGTACCTTTCAATGAAAAGACAAAGTATAACAAGAAGACAGAGTTCTAAAAAAATAGATATAGGCTTTCAAATGTATATCGGTACATGCTGGATTTATTAGCACATGATGTCAAATAACCAACTCAGCTGAAGTTTGATTGAAGACAAATCATTTCATTTGATGTGAGCACTAAGACCTTTGGTTGTGGTTAGGGTGAAGTGAGGGGTAAAATAATTTAAAACTTGTACCACCAGGGCTTAGAAGTCACCTACGCGCTCATGGTATTTCCAGCCTTACAGGCCCACACAACCCAGTTGAAAAACAAAGACAAGCCTGCTGAAGATGAGCGTGTGCTGTATAGCGAGGTGGTGACAACGCACACCCAATAGGCAGCTAAATAAGGAGGGAGAACCCTCTCTATGTCTCTCTGCATCTTCTCCCGGCATCAATATCCTTAACCCTTTACACCCCAACAGCCCTTTTATGCCACTGGGCAAAGGGCACAGCCAACACTCCTTAGGCTGGGCCAGTCTTGGCATTACGTACCCTGGACTGAGCACGACACTTACATTGAAAGATGATTTCCTGCCATGCTGGTCTCCTGCACACAGCATGATCCCAGGTTTATGCTTATTGGGATCCTGAGGTGAAGCAAGAGGCTCTGGAGACAGAGCACAGGTCAGCTCTGAATAAATTGAATTCTGAGCACCATCTCCACATTCCCCAATACCTTGTCCCAGCTAATGGCAGCTAAGAAAAACAGCCTGGCTTGTGTTACACTGGAAGTTTGTGAGTTCAATCCTTGAGGGGGCTGTTTAGGGATCCGGGGAAAAAATCTGTCTGGGGATTAGTCCTGCTTTGAGCAGGGCGTTGGACTAGATGACCTCCTGAGGTCCCTTCCAACCCTGATATTCTATGATAAGATCACATCCCAGCTCTTGCCCAGGATACAGGCATTAGCTAAGAACAGACAAAACCATAGCTGGAGACCAAACCAGGTCACCTGTGTGTTAGTTTTCCTCAAAATAAGTATTAGGCCTTCTCTACACTACAGAGTTTTGTTGACTCAAGTTATGCTGACATACAGCCTCCGCTGTCATTAAACCACTGCTGCATGTCCACACTAGCAGCTCTTACATTGACACAGAGAGCAGTGCCCTGTGGGTAGCTATCCCATGGTGCAACTGGCCGCAGGGTGCTTGGGAAGGGCTTGCAATTTCTCGTGGGGCAGGTACAGCATCACATGATTCAGGTTTCTCAATCCCATCATTCCATGGGCATCCTTTTAGATTGCCAGCCATTTCCAACTGCCCTGGTCACATAAGAATGGCCATACTGGGTTAGACTAAAGGTCCATCTAGCCCAGTCTTCTTTCTTCCAACAGTGGTCAATGGCAGGTGCTTCAGAGGGAATGAACAGAACAGAACAGGTCATCATCAAGTGATACATCCCCTGTCGCCCATTCCCAGCTTCTGGCAAACAGAGGCCAGATAACCTGCAACCCAGCCATCTCTGTCAGAAGGCCTGGCTCCTGCACGGCTCTTCAGTATTGTGCTGTGCATTATGAACACAAGGCTAAAAGAGGAGCCCAGTGGGGGGCTATTGGGCTGAGGGATGCCTTGAAGGAGCATATTAACCCTGAGCCACAGTAATGTGTGTTGCTGTCGTGTGCTGAACCCGGCATTGTTTGTTTGCACCGTGCTAAGAGCCTTGTAACGATTGCTGCGTGTGCCCCAAATTAACACATTTTAAATCACTTTTAAAAGTAGCTGTCATAAACATACAGCTGAGGGTAGCATAAAATCCCTCCTTTACCTCTAAGGGGTTAAGAAGCTCAAATAACCTGGTTGGCACCTGACCAAATGGACCAATAAGGGAAGAAGATCCTTTCAAATCCCTGGGGGGAGGTTTTTGTTTGTGCTCTCTTTGTTGTTCTCTCCCGGATAGAGAGAGACCAGGGCAGGGGAAAAAATCTCCTAAAACCCTACCTGAAATAAGCATCTAAGA